TTGGCGTCATAGAACCGGCGCGCGCGACTCGGGTGTTTTCGGTATCGGTCGGTCGGCACCCGAGCGCGTCACCGGCTCTCGACGGTTACGCGCGCCTAACGGCGGTTCGATATTTGCGCGGTTTGTCTAATGTTTAAAAATGGGCGCTCAGCGCCTCCGCATTTGCCCGACCAGTGTTCGTCGGGCGGCGGACTTTCGGCGGATCGGCGGCCGAGTAACGGTGCATTGACGGTGGAAGGATGCATCGTTACAAATATATTGTAATGATACCGTTACTAATGGCCTAGCGGGCCGATCCACCGCGCGCTGTTTTGAGGCTCGGCGCCTATGGCGCCCCTAAACTTCCACACCCGTGTCTCGCTCCACCGTGGGGCCACCCCACCACGCGCCGACTCGCGTAAGTGGGAGGCCGGCCGCCGGTATATAAGGCGCTCCGGCGAGCGTAGCGTTACCAGTTCCCGATCCCGATTCCTGTCACGTACAACTCTCCGGATCCTGAACCGACTCTCGCGTTACACCGGGCTACAGGCTTCCCGTAGTTAGGCCGGGTACGTCCGCATGAGCCACGCTGGCTTCCCGAGCTCCGCGCGCACCAGCCACGCGAGAAACTCTGTACGCAAATTTCTGTACGCACCACTCTTGCATGTCGCATTGTGGATAACAGCCGCTCACGCGAATCTCTGTACGCACCGCTCCCGCATGTTGCATTGTACATATAATATAGCTCAGTGTTAGATGTTGATAATCACTTAAATAAACATAAAGGTTTAAACCGCTTATACCGAGGTAAAGTAAGTTGTAGTTTCCCCCTTCTCCCGAATCCTGGCACCGGCGAGCCTAGATCCGCGGCGTACGGGAAAGGTGAACCGTTACAATATATACAATTAATATAATATAATATAAATATATACAATTAATATAAATATAAATATACAGGGTGGTCCATTTTAAAAGAGCCAGTCAAATATCTCAAATAATTGCATATAAATAATTCACGATTTTTGATCGCCACACATTATTCAACGCCGTGAATTTTTTTTGATGCATTTTTAATGAATCACTGCGTGAATAAATTTTATTGCATATTTCATATATTATTTGTATTGTTTTTTTTTTGTGCATTTTTTTTCATGGCGTATTTGATTTTTTTTTTCTGTGAACGTGTTGTCACGATATGAACATTTAAATATCTGAAATAAAAAAAAGGGATCATATAAGATGTCTGATGATAAAATATAAAATTTTAATAATCGTATATTAGGTTAAACTGAACAAAAAATTCTGTTACTTTTTTACAGACAATCACGTAAAATTTGTAGTTATTAATTAAAGATTTGTGAATAATCACGCGCTATACGGTAGATGAGTTGTCATGGCGATGTCTGCCGTCGTGTTACACTTTATACTTTACACGTGTCACACGACAGCAGATATCGCCCTGACAACTCATCTACCGCATAGCGCGTAATCGTTCACAAATCTTTTATAATTAATAACTACAAATTTTACGTTGTCTGTAAAATGGTAGTTTGTATTACCTACTTGCTCTTGTTACTTACTTTCCGATTGTTAATTTTTGTCCTGTTGTGACGAGGCGTGGAGGAAAATTCTTCTTCTGAGGAGGAAGAAAATTTTCTTTTTCTTTTTATCACCTCCTTTTTATTACCTCTTAAATAATTTTTTTCCAGAGAATCGGTAGCATTATCATCATCATTATCATCATTAACTTTATTTGTATCATTTCTTTTCTCCTACGCATAATAAAAAAAATAATGAAAAAAGTAAAGATTAAAAACGCAGCATATATTTCGAATATGTAGGGAATATTTTTTCAGAATCTACATGCGCTGTTAGAGATATTAATTAATAGAACTTACTGATTTTAAAGATTTTGTTGGCGTAGCAGATACAATAAAATTGAAATTTATATTCCGTTAAAGGCAAGAAAGTATTAAAAAAATTATAACGGAAAGGCATTAATATAATTAAAGGCATTAATATAGTTACTTACTTTCATAGATGCATCATGCACTTGACCATGTATTGAGCCATGTGTTGGATTTGATGGAGCGTTCTGTGGTTCGTAATTCGCTATTTTAAACAGAAAGAAAAAAAATACATTAATAGTTATACTAGTAGTTATACTAGTAGTTAAAATTTAAGAGTTAGGATTTTTGGTAAATCTATAGATAAACTTACATTACACGGATGATTTCGATGTTTTAAATATCAACGTGGTCAATCGGGACTGTGGTCAATCGGGACCGTGGTCAATATCAACGTGGTCAATATCAACGTGGTCAGACGGGACGCTCCCGGCTGGGATAGGCGTCTGGGAGGGCGGGGGTGGATTAGGAGTTTGAGGATATAGATTGGGAGAATGAGTAGGATAGATGTGAGAGAAGGTCGGAGATTTGAGACTGAGAGGTTGAGTCGAGACAAGAGTTCCTTGAGGAGGGGGATGGCACGGGCTTTGGGAGAGGAAAGGGAATGAGGGCGCGTTCCACTTAAGGACCGCAGCGCTCACGGTATCATTTTATCCTTGTTCACCGAAAGTTAAACAAAGACACATGATGCTCGTTAGCGTTGCGGTCGTTAAGTGGAACGCGCCCTGAGAGCAAGGTTCGGATGAGGCGGACTAAAGGGGAAGGATGCGAAAGCGCAGTCGGCCGGTTTTCCGGAAGTTATGCGCAAGCGGTTTCCACGACGTCAATACAGCCGAGGATGGCTGCAAGGGGGAGTTTCTTAATGGGTGCAAGTCCCACATACTCCGCTGGACTGGCTAGCGTTTCCTTTATGCATCTCTGCATAATGTATTTTTCTCCTCTTACGCAAAAACTGGTCATCACTGTGAGTGATACTGTAAAGATTTTAGTCATTATCCTTAAAAAAATTTAAATAAAGAAAGTTTGAAAGATCTCATGGTTAATGTCAATGCTGAAGAACATAATTCAAAGGACATAATAAGTTGATATATGTGTTGTGCCTCTAGCCGCTAAGGAAGAGGTCTTTAGGGATTTATACTAATTATCAATTAGTATAAAAAAGACAAATAATTGTTAAAAAAAATACATTGTAAATAATTACATACTCACATACAAGATATTTTATTTTTTATATCAAAATATATCAGATTAAAATATAAAATAACACAAAAAGTACTTAAGGAAAAAATACTTTATTATAATGTTTTGAAAAGCTCTCGAGATAAACTACAATAATATGCAATAAAAAATATTTAAATAGTATTCCATTTAAATAATTTAATGTGACCCTCAAATAACTCTTCAAGGTCAAATCAATGGTATTGTCTTACGGCCCCCTCGAAATCATACAACTTTTGTCTAAAACATTTTTGTCTTAAACTTATAGATTTTAAGATATTTCAGTGGATATGTTAAAATGGCCTACCCTGTATATATACATATATAATATAGTCAATATATAACTCTACGTCATGGAAAATGTAATTTTTAAGATATTACTGTATTTATATTCCGGATGTATTCTGCACAAAATAACCCGCAACGGTTTGTCCCCCGTTTTTGTTGCGGCACATCGGGATACTGCAACAAAAGTGAATTAAATTGTTATACTATCATCAATAGTCTCATGAAACATCTTGTACATTTTGTAGCAAAAAGTAAAGAAAAGCGCCAAGTCGCTTCCTTATACAAACAAAATAAAAGTATTAAATTACCGTTGTTTAAACTTGTTTCTAAAAAATATAAGTTTAAACAATAATAATTTAATACTTTTACTTTGTTTGGGTGAGGAAGTAAGTTTGCGCTTTTTTTCCTTTCTTTTACAAAATATACAAGATATCTGATAAAAATATTGATTAAGAATGCTGATTGACCAGCAGATTGGCGGCAGGATTGTAGCAGACTCTCTCGTTTTGTAATCGATGTGTCTCGTTATTTGATTAAATTGAGTAGTGGCTTTTAAAAACAGTTTCAATATTTTTTTCTCGATCCAGTATGGAGCACAGCCAATGCTCCAATGAAAGAACTTTTGGGGATTAATCAAAAACACGTTCTCTCACTGGACCACTGACTACATTTCAACTCGAGGAAGAAGTGTTGTAACTATTCTTAAATTCAGAGTATATTCTCTGATATGCACAGGATCCCAATAATGCCTTCATTTCCGGCTAGGATATTGACTCGTATGCAGACATTCTATTTAAGAAAAGATGTTACTAACAGTAAAATAGCTAAATTTTAAATAAAATCAGTCTGTTAGTCTGTCAGCAGGTTCTGCGCGGTTATTGCCGCCAATCTGCTGTCAAATTGTGTTAATTGTAAAATGAATAATGATGAAATATTACATACGTATAGTTTCTCGCATGTTGGTTCGTGGTATTTTATTACTTGGCTTATTTTTTGAGCCTCTCGAATTGTTCCTATTGTATAGAAGTTTAAAATGGCTGCTTCTCTGCGATGTCTGAAAATATTTTCTAAAATTATTTTAAAAATAAATATCAAAAAATGAAAACAACATTAAAGAAAGTTAAAATACATGCATGTCTTATAACATACGTACACACATTCATATACGATTACAAGGCATGCACGTATTTTAACTTCTTTTCTGATATTTTTTTCAGTGAAAAAAACGGTAATTATGCATATTAAGGTTACACCCCCGCAGGATAGTGATGTTGACATATGTTGTCAAGGTCATGACCCTGATGAACATTCCGAAGGTTTTAGCCGGCGGTCATTGTTTATTCAAAAGTTATTAACAAATAAAGTTTAAGTACCTATACCACGTAATTTTCGAACATGTATAAAAGAATAGTGAGTTTGACCTTGACATAACCACCGACGAGATACTATTAAAGACCGTCAGCCCTGGGTAAACTTTTGTAACCATCAAGTGGGCCCAGTGGGCCCGGAGGTAATTGAAGAATGTTGACATTACCGGCTGTTTGATTGAATCGAAGATAATTACACGAATTATTTAATTTATACGGTTATTTTACTTCATCCAGTTATTATTTTATTATCGAAAACACCGACGAGATATCATTAGAGACCGATGGTCTTATAGGATTTAGCATATTACTGGAAAAAAACTCGCCACGCGGTACTGTAGGTAAGTAAATCTTTGCATTGTCGATAATAAAACAGTAAATTTACAATAAAATGTTTATTTTGATGTTCTTGAGGCAGTTATATAAAATATCTATACATTTTTGATAATAAAACAATAACTGGATGAATTAAAATAACGCGCGGCGAGTTTTTTTTCCAGTCACACTAAAGACCATTGAGGTCCCATAAGACCACCGGTCTTTAATGATATCTCGTCGGTGACATAACGCAAGTCGTGTTGTAAAGTATGTGTGGACGCAATGGGTTCCGTCCCCCCTACGGGGGGGCTCCATTTTTGGAAGATATAATCTAACCCAAACCAAAATTTAGTTTTAAATCAGAAATAGGTTTGGGTTAGGTTATATTTTCCAGAAGTGGAGCGACCTTAAGGGGATCCCAAAAGGTTTTACCGATAAAAACTTTATTTTGCAAAATCTTTTTGTTGATTATAGATATCAAAAAATCCTTTTCCACAATTAAAGTATACATAATAAGGAGGGGCGGAGTTTAACATTTCATATGAAAAGTGGAAAAAAATGATAAAATTACAGTTTAGTTATCGGCCTGTGCCGTCAACATTTACTTAATATAAAAGATTTGTAATCTGCACGTGCCTAATCAGTAAACCCCGCACTCGGCATTTCATCAAAGAGTATAAATGAACTTAAAGAAGTGAGTTTAGAAGCTTTATAAAAAAGAATCTGCAAAATAAAATTTTCGTGCATATGTGTGTGTGCGAGATAGTTACGCTTGGATGAGGGCGCTAACCCGTCGGAGTTCGGCCGTCACTTTTGGATCCCCTTAATATGCATAATTACCAAAAAAATATTAAAAAATTAGTTCCAAAAGATTTTGGACGCATACTTTAAGGGTCGATAGGAGAGACTATGGTGATCTCTGTCGGCCGTTCGTGAATTATAAATTTGTAATTGTCGTATTCCGGTCAAAATAGAGAAAAACATTGCAATAAAATTATGATATTCGAAATCTGCGACATCGCTTTCATTAACATATTGTGCGTATACGGACATACACTTACATATAGGATGAGAATTCATTTCTCAATATCGGTGACTCTGACGCCGGAGTTTGCCTATCACTCCTATCAACCCTTAATTAACACGCTGTATATTACTAACCCATCTAATATGTCCTTTTTGAATATAATTACGTAATAGTGAGCGCTAAAAAATAAAAATAAATAAAATAAAATAACTAATATAATAAATATATTAAAATAATATTGTTGTATTTATATAATTTTTGTAAAATAAAAATCGATAACAGATATATTGGATAAATGCAAAAGTTTTGTACTCATCCAATATAATTACTTACTTGTATACGCCGCATATTAACCCATATGCGTAATTTCTTAATAAATTTCTGATAAGGTTTGTCGGCTATTTTATCGTTTCATTGTGCATCATACGGGAAAGGTCATAATATCCTCCGATTTTCATAATATTTTTTAGACCTTGCGGTACTAAATGAATAACTAATATCTGAATAATGCAATCTGTGATTGGCTTATCTGTTAAAATTTCGTCTTTGCCTTTTTCTATATCATCATTATTTATTCCATCCATTAATTCGTATGCATCAGTTTTCTCTTCCCTAAATACAAAAAATATTACGTGACATTTGCAGAATGCATCATAAGAATAACTTACAAAATTACAAATTAGAAAATTACACGTTCAACTATGGAACAGATGAGTAAGGGATAATGAAATCTAGATAAAAAAATATACATTCGCTTATTTTTATCTTCACCTTGATTATAAATGTGTTCTGATATTCTTTATTCTTCTTTGTTAAATTATTAAATCGTTCCAGATGGCCACGATTAAATTTCGGTTAATGACATATTAAATCTTTCTTCTGTATCAAAATCACAAATAGAATCTAAAGGTAAAACACGGTTGGCTCAAAGTTTGGGCTTCGAACTAACACTTGCTCGTTCACCCGAAAGCAAACGAGCAACACTCATGGGAGAATCGAAGCCTGGGCCTCTGTTTTTTTCACGAGAATACGGAATAAAAAAACGATAAACAATCTTTGATGAGCTTGAGACCATAAAAGCAAATATTTGACTTTATGACTGATGAAATTACACCGTTGCCTAAACAAAGGACTTCTGCATAACGTATAATGAATAACGAATAAAGGTAGGTTCAGACAGGACGCGTCAAGCAGCGAACAACAATCCAATCAACGAGGCGATATTTCTACGCCATAAAAAATATCGCCTCGCTGATTGGGTTGCTGCTCACTGCTTGACGCTTGTCGCGTCCTGTCTGAACCTACCTTAAGGAAATGGGCCAATCGTTTATTTCCAACCTGGGGGATAAAAATAAAGGATTCTAATTGATTCATTCATTTATGCGTTATGCATTATGCATTATGCAGAAATCTGTGCTTTCCGTTTTAATTTGTATAATAACGATCAGAGAACAGTCAAATCGAAAAAATAATTGTTAACACAAGCGGTCAATATAGATATATCGAAGATCGATATTCAAGGAGCAAGTATCGATACGTGGAAATATCGAATAATAGAATATCGATACA